GTAGTCTAGCTTCCGTTGTAGTAGTTATCTCCGCACGCAGCACGGCAGCCTGCCAGGCGTTCTGCAACATCACGGACAACGGCTCGTGTGACGACCATGAGGAGTATATGCAGCCTGCCCCCGCCTCCCAATCCAACTTCACCTGCCTCTGTCGTGACGGCTACTCTGATGTTGACCTCGGCAACGGCTCTACCTGTGTTGTTGTCAACACCACCACCACTGAGGGTGAGCCATAGCTCCACGGTTCACCACCATAGCTCACTTGCACAGTCATGCGGTCGCACTCCCTGCACTGTCTCCTCTCTTAACCTCGGAAACAGCTCTACCTGTGCTGTTGTTAACACCACCATCACCACCGAGGGTGAGCCATAGCTCCACTACCATAGCTCCCTCACATTGCCTCCCTCATACTGCCTCCCTCACACTGTCCCCCTCACACTATCTCCCTCACACTAAATTCTGACTCTACATTCTGTCACTAACATGTCTCTATATTCTGTTGTCCCCACCCTTCCCCCTCCCCTTGTAACAGTCACTTCCCTCTCCACGTGAGCCATAGTAGGCATAGCCGTGGGCTGCTTTGCTGGCTTCACTCTACTAGCCGCTATACTTGCATAGGTGCTGTGGCCCCGCAAACAGAGTGAGACCTCCAACCCTTTTGAGGCGCCTCAAAAATCGGAAACAGAATGAGACTTCCAACCCGAGCTGACTTTTGAGTCGGTTCAAAAGTCAGCTCTCTATACTCGCATGGGTGATGTGGTCCCGCAAACAGAGTGAGACTTCCAACCCTGATGGCCCCTCTCCTACATCTCTCCTCTTGCATACAAAAAAAGCAATGCTATTACCCATCCATCCCTCCACTCGCTTCCTCTGCAATAGACGTTGTAGGTTTTATCCAACCCAACCCTAGCCATCCCCCTCCTATCGTTCACATGCTCTGCCATTATGCCTTGTGTGTTTGCAAGGGAGTGGGAGGGCCTACACGTGTGTGAGCAATACACGCTACAGGAACCTTCCAGCCTTCGCAACTCCCTTCCTATTTTTAACATGTTGGGCATGCATGCCTTGTGTGCTGGCAGGGAAGTGGGAGGGGCTGGATGTGTATGAGCAATACACGCTACAGGAGATGGTGAAGGCGACAAACAACTAGGCGAAGGAGAATCAACTTGGCAAAGGAGGCTTTGGAGTGGTGTACAAGGAATGCTCGCCACAGGGGCAGCTGTGGGCTATCAAGCACTCTACTATCATGACAAATGAGCTTGAAAACGAAGCAAGTGTATTTTATAAAACAAATTTACAAACTGGGTTTCACTTTGCGGGAAGAAAAAGAGAGAGAGGGAGATTTTTTTTTTTTTTTTTTTTTTTTTTTTTTTTTTTTTTTTTTTTTTTTTAACTTCACAACTCGATATCAGAAAATGCATAAGCCTAACCCACAATTAACCATCTTCATGTCCTGGCATGTACTTCTATCTCCCATGCTCTGGTGCGAGCCATGGCATCACTCCACCACACGAATCTGGTGCGGTTGCTGGGTTTCTGCCTCTTTCCTTGAGGCAGTGACTGCGGCTGGCACAGGGAGCAGCAGAGGGCATGGCATACCTACACGGCTTTGACACACCAATCTTTCACCGTGACATCAAGCCCGCCAACATTCTTGTGACTCACGATATGCAAGCCAAGGTGGCTGACTTTGGGCTGCTCAAGCGTCTCACTCATGGGGACTCTGATGCCACACGAGTGGCCGGCACTCCGCGCTATGTGGACCCGGATTACAACCGCACCAAGATTATCAGTGCCAAGATTGATGTCTTAAAGTGTGCAAAAGTTGCTTATTCCGTTGCAAGGTTGCGCTTTGAGACGTCCTAAAAAACACTCCGAGCTATGTGGACCCGGATTACAACTACATCAACTTCATCACTGCTAAGAGCAACTTCTTCAGGTGTGCGTAAGTTGTTTCCTTGACCATAAGGTGGCAAGGTCGGCACATGTTATGAAGTTCTTGACTAAAACTTCTGCAGTATGTGGCCTGTTTCCTTGAGAGGCTTTTTGCTCATGCGCAGGCTTCCTTGTGTAGACTTGTTTACACAGAATTGTTTGAAATCATCTCTCGCCTGTTCTGTGCTGTCATGACTGCTTGCAGCTTAGGCATCGTGCTTTTGGAGTTGCTGGTTGGAAAGACACCCCATGGTCATCGCCACTCGCATATCAGAGACTGGGTATGGTCATTCCATGTTGGATTCAATCCTCGCCTCATCCTCCCATAGGCAAGATGCCATCCCATCGTGCTTTGTTTCCTCCTTACAATACTTCCTTGCACCGCGTTTCTAAATTATCATTTCATAAGAATGTTGCCTGGCACCAGCATTCATATCCTTCATAGTGGCAGCTGTGCCTCTCATCTCCCCTCCACCATGCTTCCTTGCACCCAATTTCTTCTATACTCAGCCCCCTTATCATTCTTATTCAACACGCTACTCTGTTCCTCCTTTTCTCTCTATCATGAAAAGGCATATCACTTGCCTCCTTTTGAGTTGACTCAAAATTCACCTCCTTGCCCTTTTGCATCACCCGCCCTTACACATACCTACTGCACAAGCCTGGAAGCGTATCACTTGGAAGATCTCAAGGACAGCAAGCTACACGCGAGTGAGGAGGCAATTGTCGGCTCTTAAGGCGCCTCAAAAGTCTGCATCACTCTTCCTTACACATACCCACTGCACATGCCATGAAGAAAATGGAAGCGTATTCCTTGGAAGATCTCAAGGACAGCAAGCTACACGCAAATGAGGAGGCATTTGTCGACTATGCCGACCTGGCTCTGGACTGTGTCAAGTCGCGAGGCGCACGGCGCCGTGACATGAAAGACGTTGAATACCGCCTCAAAGCGCTCATTGACCAACATTGCCCAGAAAGGAAGGATGACTGGGAATGCTCGAAGCAGAAAGATAGTGGTAATATGAGTTATGCTGAGCGGTTTCCGCGGATGGAGAGTGGTTCTGTGGGTGGTGCTGGTGGGAGATTGTCACGCATGGGGTCTCTACTGTCTACGGGCTCGTTTGCAAGGAGCGGGTCTTTTTCGAGCTTTGGTTTGGGGGTTACCAGAAACAAGAGCTAGGTGCAGACTAGGTTTACAAAAGGATATTGCGCGAATACACCAAGGGTAAAACAGGTGCTACAGTAATGGTGGTCGTGCATTAAGATGCGTACTGATAAGAGCGTGTTCCTACGGCCTCATATCAGGCAACCTCGTATCAGATTCGCGTCGAAACGCACTAAAACGCATCCAACCGCAGTTGAACACACTAAAACATATTTTAACCACGCGAAGCTGATACGAGATGTGTCTGACACGAGGTGTAGGAACACGCCCTAAGACAAGTTTGTGCTTGGGCTGAGGACATAAAAAATAATTGTAGGTACACCCTGTTTCTCGACCCTCTCACCTTGCGCGGTTCGCTGCTACAGTGCGGTCAGGTGCCATAAACCGTATGGCTGAAACCTGCGGGCAAAGCCGCACCAGCTGACGGAGTGGTACTGGGGGCAAATTTTTTCGTTATCGCTGTATACCCTTTTCAACCGCTTTGAAACGCTTGTTTAATGTTCTTTACCATGCAGCATCCTAGCTAACCGCTTTCTTGTGAATGTGCTTGTACCGTCGGTGATAAGACCATTTCAAACGTGGTGACGTTCTACAACCAGTGCATGTTCTGCAACCAGATGCTCTGCTAGCGCGAAACAGGGTGTACCGTACTTGGGCCGTTATTGTCATGCAGATGTAATATTGTCAACAATTGCAGTGGTTTGATAAGGCATAGCGCAGGGCTCTCCCTAGGGTCTCAGGGATGTCTGATGCATCAGACAACCCCCCCGGGCCAAAAATGTTTTTTTTTCTGATCCTGACTGGACGATCAGATGAAGCAAAAAAAAAAAAAGTCTGAAATCTCAGACAAACAGACAAAAATGTCTAATAGCGAGGACCATGGAATAGTGGCTTGAATGTGAAGGTTTTTTGGGAGCTGTATATATATATATTGGGCAAAGGTAGTTCTTTGTAATGTATCTAGCCGCTCGACCTCCTTGATGCAAATTTGTTTCCCCATTTACTGTGGATAGAGCATAGTTTCTGTTTTTTGTGGCGTAATATGAGTATGTACTATCCTGTTATATATAATGAGGCGCGGTATTCGTTGATGGAATTCGCAATTTAGTCACAACCACAACTCCTCTTTTCCGTGGCACTGCCAGCTGGTGCCCGCGTTTCGGAACCTTGAAATGTATTCATGGTGCGACTCGAAATGCTCGCTGTCGCTCGTGTCGCGCCTTGAACCGCCTGCAAATTTCGTGATGTTCCGCGCGCCCCCACCACGTGCCCAGCCCAACAGCCACCCTGGGAAACCCACGAGGCGACACTTTTACCAAATCGCAACCACAACCAAAAACTTGTATTTCTGTTGACTGTTTCTGTAGGCACATTCGCGAGCCGCGATTGCCTTCGAGACACGGAAATTTTTTAGGCTCAGTGCGCCATTTCCCACCATTCCCCTGGTAGTCCGTCGTGGTCAGCCTACTTCTTCGTCAACTAATGCCGCCGCATGTTTTTATGCATTGCGCGAATCAAGGCCCGTAACCTTCCTAGACAGCAACCCTCGTGCTGTCGACTCACATTGAAGCGCTTCCTTGCTCCTCGCACAGAAACAGGGTGCTACCACTCGTACGCCCACGGTGCTTCAAGCGCGTAGAACCGATCACTAAGAAGGTCAAGCCGAGCACACGTACGCTCGTGCCACCTCGCAGTGGTCCCTTGGCGATTGCAATAAGGAGTCGGTGCAAACGTTAGTGCCAAGTAACTTTGTCTCGTGCCGGTGCTGGACTAGAAGTTCTCCCTCGCATGCACCTACCTCCTCAGCCTCTTTCTAGGAACTTACACCTTGATTAACCTCTCCTCCTAGGCTATACCCGTCCTTTCGAACCTTCAGCTTAGCTCCCTGCCGCGCTTCACGATGGCGCAAATACGCATCTTTCTAGCCTTTCTAGCCCTTACATGGGTCGCTGCCGCTATGGCGGTACCTGGGAAGCCAGCTAATGCACACAAAACGGAAGAAGTGCCGTCAGCCAATCGCCGAGCAGGAATCGCAGAGAAAGTGTTTGCGCACAAGTCCGGGTGGTATGGGCCTCTAGCCAAGTGGAACCCCGATGTCGTCGTGGCGCAGGACGGCTCTGGGAAGTTCAAGAGCATTCAGGTTGGTTGCACTTACAGCGCACGTTATCCGCCACGCAACCGTTTGTACGAGCCCTTCTGTGATATTTCACTTGCCACTCACATGGACTACTCGCCTCTTGCGACTTCCTCTTTCATTTGCCGTTGCTATCTTGCAGAAAGCGATTGACAGCGTGAGGCCACTGGTCAAAAGGCCAAACCGGAAGGCTGTCGTCATTTATGTAAAGAAAGGGCTTTACTTCGAAGAGGTCACTATTCCTGAGGGCAAGGCCAAAATCACTCTGGTGGGCGACCCTGGCGAAACCAGAATTCGTTACAACAAGTACTCTGCGAAACTTGACAAGAACGGCAACCCGCTAGGAACTGGTACGCAGTTGATGGAATTCTATTGCCGTTGACCTAGACCGCTTTATCTATCGTCTTCTCAAAGCTTCTCGAATATGCACCATGTGTTTTTCCCTACTCTGGGAAGTTCAAGAGTTTTTTCTCTTCCTCGTCCCGTTTCAGCCAATACTGGTACACTTGCCGTACTCGCCGACGATTTCACGATGGTCAACATGATCGTTGAGAATGCTTCGCCGCGTCCCCCGCCTGCGACGATTGGTTACCAGGCCGTCGCATTTCGCTCTGCCGGCAACCGCACAATCGTGTTCAACTCCAGCTTCTACTCTTACCAGGACACGCTATACGCCCACAGAGGAACCCACTATTACAAGAACTGTAAGCAGCTGAAGCTACCCACTACTGGTTCCCGTCGAAAACACCGCGATTTTCGTTTCTCACTTGTTGTTTCCTTACACTATAATGCATTGTGTCGATTCTCCTCGCAATACGTCATAGCCAGCTAAGGCTGATCGTACACTGCTCTAAATTCTTTGCCCCGTTTTCCGCTCTCGTAATGTTCAACCAGGTTTCATCTTCGGCGAGGTTGATTTCGTCTTCGGCGCCGCGAAAGCTATCTTCGACTCGTCCACATTCTACATGGATTCCATGGGCTACGCCGGTGAGTCTTCGTGAGCTTTTGTTTCGCGCCTGAATTTCCCACCTCCTCGAGTGACAACAACATTTGTTTCCACTTTCGCCACTGTTCGTTTGCAGCCGTCACCGCGAACTACCGCATGTCAAAAACTGAGGACTCATGCTTCGTGATCATGAACTCGCACATCACCGGGCGCAACCAGGGCTGGCTCGGCCGCTCCTGGGGCAAATACGCCTGCACCGTCGTTGCCAACACCTATATGGACAAGGCCGTTCGCCCTGACGGTAAGCGCGCTGGAGAGGTTTCAGTATATCATTACAGTCGGTACTAGCAGGTGTTTTGTACCATGTCCGGTCCGCACTCTTTACTCGCCACCCTAGAGAGTCTCACTAGCTTCTTGGGCTTTTCTTATTCCGACGTTGTACAGGATGGAACGATTTCGGGGTTGTTGCGCGGCAAGTGAATTCCTTCTTTGCCGAGTACAACAACCGTGGCATCGGCGCGAACCTGGACGGCCGCGTGTGGTGGCAAAAGGTCATCGAACCCGCTCAGGTAAAGAAGTACGTGACGACCGAGTACATCGGACTGAGCAAGTGGATCCGCGCTCTCCCCATTGCCCCAAAGAGGAGCGGAGGCGGCAAGAAGGGCGGAAGCGGCGGAAGCAGCAAGAAAAGTGGAGGCAAGACGGCACAGCAGAGCGCCCCTGCAAAGAAGCCGCAGCAGCACCCTGCGAGGAAGCCGCAGCATCCCGCGAGGAAGCCGCAGCAGCAGCCCGGAAAGAAACAGCCGCAGCCTGCGCAAAAGAAGCCCCATGCCAAGGCGACGACGACTCAGGAAATTATCACCGAAGGTCAGCTCGCGGCTGCCGCTGACGTGGCTCCTGCTCTTGTCGCTGCTGCCGCTGCCACACCTCTCCAGGAGCAACAGCAGCCAGCCGTTGTGGCCCAGCCATACAGTGTGTGCCAGACGATGCAGCCGGATCTTGCCACCCGCGACAGAATCTGTACGCGTTGCTGTCAGATCCGTGTCCCGGTACCAGAGCAACGTGCCTGCATGGACGCTTGCATCGGGATCTGAAAACCAACAAGCTGCTGCTACCGTAATTGAGTGGGCTGGGCTAGGCTTGGCTTGGCTAGGTTGTGCTGATTCGTCGTCATCTGCGTGCAGCCGCTAGCGCACTCAGTCTGAGAGTTCACACCAGGTTTTGCTGACATAATTATGGGTTGGGGGAGGTGTGTCTGCTGTGCTGCTTTTGTTCTTGGTAAGACCGGCGCTGGGGAGGGGTGGGGGGGGGGGGTGGTTTCGGATGAAGTGTTGCGCTCTTAAGGAGGAATACAGAATACTTGGCGCCTACGCCATACTCCTTCCTGCAATGTTCAAGGACCAAAGGTTTTCTGACTAAATAGATATTGTTTAGGTGTTCTTATACATATAGTTGGCAATAATTGACATTAGTGCTACCAAACCCTACACCCTGAACTGAGGACATTTTTCCTGAGCTATTATGCAGGTTTACAGCTAAGATTTGGCATGCAAAAAACTATTAACGATTCAAGATTCAGTGCACAAACCTGGTAGGTGAGTAGCATGGCACATACCAACATGCGGATTATGTATGGTATGATAACGAGAACCCATAAGACTGTATCAGCCTATGCTTCGGGAATAAACTGAGCTTTGCTGCCAGAAATTCGTGTGCATTCGCACATTACCAGTGATGTTTTACATAATTGCTTTGACCCCTTACTGTAATACTTGCCTGTTAGATCCATTGCACACTTACCGTAACAATAAGGGATACAGGTCCCACATTCGTGTACAGATCTGGGGTAATTTTCATATGGGGTACAGATCCCACGTACTCAATGCATTCGCCAGATCCACTCTCACAAACCCTGCGCCCCTCACCTAAACGCGCCTATGGCCAGCCTAATCTCACCCACGCCGCTTCTCGCGACTCGACGAGTGGCTTTCGCGCCGCTTCTCCGTTTCTCCACCGTTTCTCCGTACAATTCGCCGAATGATGAGCTCGCTGCGTCTCGTGGCGCGCGTCAGGAACATTCCGCCGGCTGACTATCAGCGGCGCATTCGTCTCACCGGTTCCTCTCCGCCATCCCCGCGCCTTCCCACACAATCTACACTCGCGCGGCGTTCCGCCGTTCCCTCCACCCCACGGGCGCGCGTTGCGCAGCTTCCGCCACGCCTACTCCAGCCCCGGTCCCCGCCCCCGCCCCCGCGCCAGTCCCGGTGGTGTTGACAATCGCGGGATCGGATTCGGGCAGGGGGGCGGGGATCCAGGCGGATATCAAATCGAGCGCGGCGCACGGCGCGTGGTGCGCGACGGCGATCACGGCGGTGACGGCGCAGAATAAACCATCCCAAAAATGGGGCTGATCGAAATCTACCGTGAAGCTACTTTTTAGTTACTTGTCGGTTGTTGTCCAGGAAACAACTTTCTAGTTACTAGCGAACCTACTGGGCGAGGTTGGGCTGCTCCGAACGTAAACATACGGGAAGGTTACTTTGTGGCAGGAATGAACTTGTGTGCAGCGAAGTTCCCACGATCACACACGAAAAGCAGTAACTCTGCTTTTGCGATTGATGCGGCTTACACCCATTTGAGCACGAAAAGCCGAGTAATATTGCGTTCCCTGAGCTGTGACCTTTTGACTGGCTGGGAAGTCATGTTTCCACTGGGTTGCGTCGAATGAGCGCATTTCGCGCCAAACACTGACAGAGATTATCATTGGTAAAGTGTGCGACACCTGTCAAGCATATTCCGAACAGGTCAGACAGCATGACCGAACCTGGGGATTACACGTTTCGGGGAAGGGCACAAGGCAAATGCACGCTTGTGCAACACGTCGCAGTAATTTTCTTGGTGTTTGCTGACGTGTGCATCTAGTGCGTTCCCAAGTGTCGCTATATTATTGACGCCGAGAAAGTGTGTGTAACAGTTACGTTGTTGTTAATAGGGTAACTTTAATTTAGCAATTTTCTATATTCGTAAAATTGTATTTTATATATTTTGTACTGGTTCTTTTATGCATATAATATTAATTATAAATGGATTATTAATACGATTAGTTATTGCAAATACTACGCAACAGGGGTACTGAACAAATTACTACGCCACACAGACTACGACGCAAACACTGCTGCAAACACATGGCATCCTACGCTTTCTTAAAGGTGAGGCTTAGGGACCTTGCAATCCTGGCAACCCTGCGCATGAGATAAACACCCTCGCGGTGGTTGCATTGAATTTCCAAGCAGCCTTATCAGCCTCCCACCACGGGCCCGTAATTGCGCTCCTATTCTGAACGGCGAACGCGACGGCGTTGTGGACCTTCGAATGGTGAATCGTCAATGCGTTTCGATTGTCAACCGGGCTACGCGGCATTTCTTCACCGTTGATCAACTTGTACTCGACCTGCAACAAGCAATGGGTTGGGGTGATTACAACGTATGTCAAAAACCAGCATCGCGACATGCAACTAGACAAAACACCTTGTTAACACAACCACATGGCTCAACATACCCCCAGCAGAAAAAAGGCAAGTTGATTGAATCGGAGCACCACAAAGGAGTGCCCCGGCCTCTGAAACGAGTGGAATACTGCAGCAGTGAAGAAGTCTGTTGAGAATGGCAGGCCATCGTCATTGAAGTGCCACTTCAGCAAGCCCCATGAAGTCGCATCTACTCAACAGTGGAGGTGAGAATGGGGGGAGAAAATACGCGTTGGTGGATGCAATAGATTGAGTGGGTGGGGGCAGGTGTTCTGAGCGGAGAAATGAGGGTGAGAGGCGCTGCATAAACACACAGAAATGGCTTGCACTGCAGTGGCGTTAACCATGTGCCTGCTGGAAGTGGACAAGCTAGGTGCACTACAGCAGGGTACAAGGGGGGTAAGGGGCAGGGTTATTAGGAAGCACTAGGGTTTAGCAGTGAAACACACAAGCCAGGTGCACTACAGTAGGGTTCAGGTGTGCCTGCTGGAATGGCGAAGGTGGGGGCGCAAGGGAGGGAGGGGCTGGTTCTAATGAGACACCAGGGCTGTGTGAATTTCCGCAAGGTGCCCTCCAGTTTGCCCTCAGGTGCGCCTGCTGGAATGGGGAGGGTGGGGACACAAAGGAGGGCGCTGCTGGTAAGAACGAGGCACATGGCCCACACTTTGGAACCAACAGGGAGGGCAGGTGCCCTCCAGTTTGCCCTCAGGTGCGCCTGCTGGTATGGGGAAACTGGAGAGGGTGCTGCTGGTTAGAACAAGGCACTTGGCCCACACTTTGAAACCCACAGGGAGGGCAGCAGCCCTCCAATTTGCCCTCAGGTGCACCTGCTGGAATGGGGAAGGTGGGGACGCAAGGGAAGGAGGGGCTGGTTTTAATGAGACACCAGGGCCTTGAAAATCACGAAGGGTGCCCTGCAGTTTGCCCTCAGGTGCGCCTGCTGGAATGGGGAAGGTGGGGGCGCAAGGAGGGAGGGGCTGGTTCTAATGAGACACCAGGGCCGTGTGAATTTTCGCAAGGTGCCCTCCAGTTTGCCCTTAGGTGCGCCTGCTGGAATGGAGAGGGTGGGGACACAAAGGAGGGCGCTGCTGGTAAGAACGAGGCACATGGCCCACAATGCCAAACCCGCTATCCACGGCAACGGTTGGGGTTTTTTGCCCTCAGGTGCGCCTGCTGGAAGGGGAAGGTGGGGGCACAAGAGAGGGAGCGGCTGGTTAGAACGAGGCACTTGGCCCACACCTTGAAACCCACAGATATGGCAGTTGCACTGCAGGTTGCCAGCAGGTGTGCCTGCTGGAAAGGGAAGGAAGTGGCACAAGGGAGTTGGGGCTTGGTGAGAACGGGGCACAAGGGGCTGTATGGTCCCGCAGCCTTGGCAGGTGCACTGCAGTGGCAAAAGAGGGGGTGATACAGGCGTGGGGGGTAAGAAATAAGGCGTGGGTGGGGCTTCGTCTTACCAGCAAAATATTCGGCACAAAAGGCTCCAGGAGAGAGGGTTCCGACCACTTCCCTCCCGCGATCCGGTCGAGCAATGCGGATATCGAAGCGCTCGTACAGCATCACACGGCCCATTGTGTGGACCTTGTTGCGGGCATCCTGCTGCTGCTTTCTGAGGTGGCCTGGGCGCGTTTTCTCATTCTCCATGACCAGCCGCACTTTCGCCACATAGTCGGCGTCGGTGATACCGATAGCGGTGCAAAGTGCAGTGATGTTGGTGTCTCGCGGCGTCCAATACTCAAGGTCGACATCGGGCGTCTCGAAGTACATGATTTCCACTGCACGCTTCGCCGCTCCCTGACGCCGGAGCAAGGGGAGTTTAGGATGGAAGGGGGACAGATGAGAGGGAGGGGAGTGGAGGGTAGCGGCGGGGAAGGGGTTGGGGGAGGCGGGAGCGCAGGATGATGGGGCGGATGGGATACGTGTGAGGTGAAGGGGCACAAGGCAAGGCGCATATGCATCACACTCATGCAGCTGGATGGTTCCATTCAAATTAAGAAGTGTTCACGCGAACTACCTCCACACCAAGCATGCACTCAACCCAACGGACCTTAAAACCGTTGTGCATGTCAGGGACGCCCGCCAAGGCGGCGGCGTAGCGGTGAGCCCACGTCAGCTGCATGCTTGACAGTTGTTGCAGGTCCAGTATGACGCCTCGCTTGTGCGCCAGCTTCACCGCGTTTTGGATGGCATTTCGGTTCGGCTCCACACGAAGGACGCTGGGGACCGGCGGCAGCATAGTAGCAGCTGCCACGCCGTCATTGCGCGTTGCGTTCCCACCCGCACCTGCCTGCCCGCTCCCATCCGGCGCCGCATCCTCGGCAGGGTCAATGTTGGGGGAGTTTGCCGGGTTGCTGCTGCCCTCTCCTCCATTGTTGGGCGGTGAGTTCGCCGCAGCCCGCTGCATGTTGCGTCGCTCGTTCTCATACTCCATAAGGCGGCGCCGGAACTCACGGTTCTCCCTTTGCGTGTCCTCGAATTCGGCTCGAGTAACACTGTCGATGATCTCGTTCCCCTCCTCTGCATCGTGATCTGCCGACAACGGCACAAATCCAGGATTGGGCATGTCAG